TCACCTGGTTTGGGCACGTTATTCTCCGCCCGCCTCTAGGGCTCCTTTTTGCTGGAACCGTTGCCCACCGGAGGCGTCGAAGAGGAGAGCAACTCTAAATCTGGCTTGACACAGTTCGTCAAGACACGGAAGTGAGTCTTGGATCTCCGACATTTTGTTTCCCAGTTGCTGGAGGAGCATGGGTCGAGCTCCCCAAATCCACTACCGCAGTTCGTCACGCATGTATCCGCGATATCACTCAGGTCGGCTGGGTCAAGCATGATCGAATCTGTACCGAGATGCGGTGGTGACGAAAGTGATCTCTCCGGAACGTTTTGATTGTCCACATATAGGAAACTTTAACGGATTATCGTGTGTTTTACGTAGTGTCATTCTTGCTTAACTTATCTTGCGGGGGTAAAGATTCAGTATACACATCAATCTATTTTACTGTACATCACTAACTACTTGCTTTGTTGTAGTAGGCCTGTTTCCTTGTGCACGTATTCAGTACGTATCCATTGCACTCCCCACACGAAAAGCTTAAGCGTCCTGTGTTTACTTTGAGCTTTATTAATTTTAGTTTAGTTTTTATTTAGTCAGTTTAGTTAAGTTTAGCTTTTGTTTAGTTTAACTATAGTTTAGTCTTAGCTTATTTTTTAGTTTATTATTTAGTTTTATTATTTTTTTAGTTTTCAGTTTAGATAGTTTGGTTTAGTTTTAATTTGCTTTAGTCTACATTTCATTTTTAGTTTCGCTTAGTTGAGATTAGTTTTTAGTTTATTTTAAGTTGCCTTAGTTTATTATAGTTTTATTAGCGACTGAAATATAGAGAAAAAAACCATCTCTCATGGTTTTACTTTAATTTAGAAAATTCACAGTGTTTTACGAAGCTCCGCAATTCGCGGCATTCTTGTTTCCTATCAGTTGCATTTCTCATTTTAATTATCGCGCGCTTTTTCGTTGGAAAACATTATGTTATTTAAGTAGTTGTTCCTTTTATTTACCACTTTTATACGCTCTACTTTTTAAGTACTTTTTCTTTCCCCTGATACTTCCCACCCAGATAACCCCTATTACCGCTAGTCCCATATTACACAACCGTGGGGTTTTTATTACTGTTGCGACGTGTATACTGAATCCGTGCCTTCGCGACGCGTCGTAGCAAATGATTTGTTCGTCAGCAACCATGTGTTTTTGTTACGACCCGGTACGGTACATAAAATTCGCATGAACCGTATTCTTCCTCGCTTGTTGTCCCAAACACCAACACGTGGGGCGGGGGAAAGAAACGCAATTGGCCACGAGGAAAATGTAGTCAACACCGGCAAGTCATTCGCATTGAAAGGTTGCGTGCATTTATATCATCCTGTTCTGCTGGACTATATTCTGCCCAATCCGCTCTAGAAGAGCCAAGCTACTTCTCATGAACGTGGACCAATAGGCTCTGACAAGGGTGGCAGCCAAGACGAGACGCTATTCATGGCATGCAGCGTGGGAGACTCGCGCGCGGAGTCTTCAGTAAGATTGACTCATCGCTGGAAGGGGGCCATTACCAACAATTTGGTTCCTAATGAAACTCCGCTTTTGTTCCACAGTACACTTAGTCCAACTCGTGGTGTACTCGGTGCTACCTTTGCACAGCCGGTTAAACGGGACGCAAAATATTCCTTAACCAGATCGGTGAACGCCCTGACGTTCATCATATCCTAATCACAACGTTCATCAGCCGAGGAAGACAACGAGCCGATGATGCAATGGTAGAGTGTTGTACTCCATGACGAAAATCCTAGGTTCGAATCCCCGGGTGATCCACGTCTGGGATTGGATATGGTTGGCTGATGACGGTTATTACGCCGGAAACAGCCATTCTGGTCTTCCTTGTCTTTGTCGGTTCCACTACCTCCTATCCTACAAGTCGCTATGCCGCTGCCTGTGAGGGCTCTTTAGTGAGCTCCAGGGCACAGCGGGATATGAAATGTTCCTTAACCAGATTGTTGAACCCCCTACCACTAACAACTCTTTATGCCAGATTTTCTTCTCACGTACTTAATGCTATTACTGTATTCTGCTTACAACAGACAGCTCGGGATCAGATCTATACGTCAATGGTGAAACTGCTGACTGCCTTCACTCTGTCCCTCCTTGTGCTGCACTTGTTGAGCCTATTTTCAAGCAGTCTGATCGAAGAGGAGCACCAGACCTGGTACTTTTTCAGTACCAGTGTGCTCTCCTTCTTCATTATTGTGATGGCCGTGGCTGACCACGCGAGCGACAGGCTACGCGTTCGTGGCACACGTATCCTCTCCATCACTCTCATCCTCATCGTTGATCGTTTTCTTCTACGCTACCTCAACAAGACGGGCGACAAGTGGATTCATCTGCCTGATTTTACGGACTGGCTGTGAGCCCTTTAACCATTCTTTTTTTATCGCTTTTTATTACTTCCATCACGCATGACATTAAGGAGTCACCGTTTAATCCCTCTTACCTATTAAGCCTCTTTCTACAAACCCAACACTGCGTAAGCACGTTAAATTAGTCCAATCCTGCTCTATTCCATGGACCATCTTACTTTGGAACTTTTGCTGTGCGGTCCGTCCTATACTGATGCGAATGCTGGGTTATGCGCGTAGTAGATGAACGAAAACTGGAAGTGTTTGACCACTACTGCTTGAGGACCATCCTACGAGTGAAGTACACCGACTTCGTCTCAAATGAGACAGTCCGCACTCGCTGCGACAAAATCACAAGGATATCTCAGGCCATTCAGGAAAGACGACCGAGGTGATTTATACACGTTCTTCGTCGTCAGCCTCAGGAGCTCACTGCTACTGTCCTCGACCCGAAAGCGTTACCTTATTGGAAACTTGGAAGAGGGGGTCAAATCAAAACCTGGCACGACTCAGTCCGTCAGTGGTTCTTGGACTTTCGGTATTCGGTCTCCGGCGCTGGAGAAGAGACG